GGCCAAAACAGAAATCATCAGCATATGCAAGGGAGAGCTCAATGTGGTCGGGCAGGCGCCAGGCCAGCCACGCAAGTACAGGCTCCACCGCAAGAGTGAACAAAAGCATAGAGCTGGGGTCGCCCTGACGAGCGCCTCGTTCAATGGCAAAGCTGTCCCATGGCCGACCGAAAAGCGAAATCGTGGCAGTGTTATTGTCATAGAGTTCCATGAAGAAGTGGACCACGGCACCAGGGACCTTCATTTTCTCCAGGACGTGGAGGGCCCAGGGGGCAAAGATCGAGGGGAAAGCAGACTCAAAGTCTGTTAGGACCAAACCAGACGTGTACCGATCTTGAAAATGTGCTTCTGAAGGATGAACAACTCAGCTTCGATAACATTCACAATCATGTCCCGTCCCCTGAAACATGTTTGCGGGGACCGTAACAGGTTCGATAACGCAGCCTTCTTGGATAAAGTCCAAGTCATAGAAGAAGAGAGAAGCTTGCAATCGGTGTTCGTCATGCTAAGCGGACGCGTGACCTGCGGCTTCCTAAAGACACCCTCCCCGACCTCCTGTTCAGTGATTTTCTTAGGGAGGAAAATCATGATGGCATTTTTCATGTCGATGGGGGGGTTCGAGGTCGGGTGAGTGAACAGGCGGCAGTAGCAGTCGTACAGGGCGTTCTTGGCAGCGGGTACCTTCCAGGCAGAGTAGGGAATGCCATCCTCCCCAGGCATGCTGTCCATCTTACGGCGTACCAAGTCATCCCACTCCACCTCTCCCAGAATCCATCCCTCCTCCTGAAGCTCGTTAAAAGTGGCGTTGGCAGGGACAGAAAGCGGCTGGATGAAACGCGAGAGCTCAGGCCAAAGCGAGGTGTCCACCTCGGGTGCGGCAAAGACCTCCTTCCAGTGCTGCAGAAGAGAGTCAGCTGCTTCGGCCTCCGATGAACTCGGGGTGTCCGTTTCCGAGAGGGTGCCCTGGAGCCAGGTGCGACGCTTCATTTTCCTCCATAGCTCTTTACGGTTGTGGACCTTTTTGCGGGCGCTGACAAGGACCTCCTCAGGGGTATTCGCAGCACCTGCCTCGAGCTCACGCTCTTCTTCTGCAAGCAAAGAGATGTGCAGGTTCTGAGCATGCTGACAGAGGGCGAGAATGCGGGCATCGTGAAGATCAGGGGATGGAAAATGAGCGGCAAG